AAGTTTTGCGTTTGCTTAATCACGCGGGTCTCATCGCGCGCCACCTAGGGTGACGCTGCCACCCCACCGCCTCCCTCAAGCGGGTAAAGTGCCAAGTAATTTATGGGCTTATTTACTCATCTGCTTTCTTTGTGGTTGTCGGCGAGCTCCCCTATTTTCAGCAAACCCGCCACATTACCACACCACTCTCCTTCGTGTTTGTTCATTCTTATTTATTGTTTGTTCCATTCAAGGTTTTTATTCTTTTATTTTTCCCCTTAAACAACCGAGATGTAATAGTTTTGCTCAAATACTTCACATTGACGTCTTCACTTGGTAGTGGTCGTGATAGTGGGCGATTTCATGCAAAACTGATGAGGAAGTGCGATTTTTTAAAAATTTAGTACTGTTTCCTTTGGCATTACTGAGGTGTCGAGTGAAGTTAAGGTTGAAGCCCTGTTACAAGGCAGTTCTAATCGTTGAGGCATCTACAATAGAGCCGAAATATTGTTTTGCAGAGTAAGATAAAAACAAAAACAAAAAAAGAACGAAAAGGGGGGGGGGCGTATTTCATTTGTGTGCCGGTAAGATGGGGCAGGAAGGAAGGAGTGAATCGGGGCGGGCAAAATGCGGACTGTTCAATGCTGGCCGCGCGCCAGATCGTGATAGGAATGCCACAGGTGCTAAACTGTAATTCAGCTAAGAGAAGGTGTGGCTGGCTGGCCCCTTCGGCCTCTTGCAATAGCTTGGCACCGTGTGTGTGTGTGCGCACGCGTGGGGAAGTAAGAGAGACAGAGAGAGCTTCTGAAGTAGGGAGTGCTACTTGACCTAGGCTTGCGTCTTCTAAACTGCTCTTTATAGTATGTGAATTAATCTTATTTCATTTATATTGTATGCGTTTTTATTTGTTCTGGATGAATTGCACACTCCAAAATTCTTTCAATGTAAAGGTTCGTATTGCAAACGATTTTCTTGTCAGCTTTCAAAGAATTGGAAAGCATTTAGGAACTAGTTCTTCGCAAGCTTGCAAACTATTTCTTTGCCATGCGAACACATTGTGGGGATTAAAGCTGTCAAAGTCTTTGCAAAGTCGCAAAGAATATAGTTTTCAAACAGCCTCACGGAAATTACTAACATGGCAACCACGTAGTCGCTCGTATGTGCTTTCCCTGAAAAGTAATCCGTCAACGTGTTTCGTGCCATTTAGCTCACGACTGACCGTGTGGCCAGAGTGCAGGGAGCTGTGTAAGGCCAGGGGCATGGGGGATAGGATTGGGTGGGGCGTTTGCGACTGGCAGGAGGGAGGAGCGCAGGGGTAACTGTCATGGAGGAGGCGTTTCCCTGACCGCTGTACCGCTGACCTGTCGTATTGGGTAAGTGCGTCCCAGATAGCCGGGATTACCGGCTCATACCTGTGATGGGCTTGATTAAATTATACCATTATTACTAGGGAGGGGCAGCACGGTATGGGACAACCTATAAATTCTGGCCGGCTCGAAAATGTGGGAAATGGCCTTGCAGCAGCAGTAGTGGTGGAGGCTGAGGGAGGGGGTTGAACAGTGGAGGGTGTTTGTTGTAAAGGGTTGTTTAGGGGGAGATTTGCGGGCAGCGAGGGGCGGCTGGTGTCTGTGATGTACGGCATCCATGGGAGATGTGTAAAGCGGAGGCACTGGCTGGTCAGCTCCTTTATGAGGCGGCCCGCTTGTATTTCCAACTTTCATCTCGTGGTTTACTACCGCAGCTGCCGTGCCGCAGTTGGTGGGCGCTCACGTGAAGCAATTATTGTTCAGAGGGCTTGCGTTGCGAAATGTCCAAAGCGTGTGCAGAGAAGTACCCGTGGCGGCATCAGCGGGGATGGTCCAGCAGCGTGTGCTCCTCGCCGAGCAGAGTCGAGCAGAACCAGCAAGGGGCAGGACTCTGTCGCGTCAGCGTCTTTCGTGCGTAGCTCGGCGTGTGCTGAGGGAGCGATCGAGGAGCCGGCGCGCGATGGGCCCTTGAGATATGCCCTCGAGATATGCCGCAGCAGGGCCCCCAACAGGTGCAAGCGTGTGAGTCGTGTTTGTGTGTGCACCTTATAGAGCTCAAAGTGAATCGAGGTTTTCGCTTCCGAATAAAGGCTCAAAGTTTTATTTTTCCTCCGAGATTTTAGTGGACTGAAAAATATATTTCCGAACCCGAACCAAACCCTCTGGTGAAGCACAAACATATCGGGCGTGCACCCCTTGAAAGGTGTTGCTCTTTTAGTAGACCCGTCGTTGACTTTTTATTATTAATTATTATTATCATTATTAGTCTCAACACAATCCCTATATGCGATCAAAGGACATGCATTCGAAAAATATAATAAATATCAAGAGCACATATGCCGGGGCGTGGTTACCGTCTGCTTGGCGCACACATTAGAAGGGATTGTTTTCCAATCGGACTGGAGAACCAGGTGGGTGCCCTGGAGCAGTACAGGCCTTGTTAAGAGCGACCATAGGCCTGCGCACGAGTGTCTGAAGCTGCGTGCCTGTATTCCCCCTGTCGCTCGTTCTGGCTTGGTGTTGCCGGGGGTCTTGTCTCTTGTCTGTTCCGCAGGTACGCTGTGGTATATTGGAAGGTTGCTCTTGCCAAACTGTTCGGCGATACAAGCCAGCCAAGCTCCCGCCTCGGGAGGGGGGGGGGGGGGGGTCTCCCGCCCTCCCCTTTTCCCGGCTGCCTCGGACAACAGAGCATCGTCTTGCGGCGCAGACAAGCCAGCCAGCCTCCCCCCTCACCGCGCCGGCCAGCATGGGACAACAAGTTCAGCAGGAATCTGAGGCATGTTATAGAGGGGCGCGCGGCAGTGGCAGGGTGGGGCGGTCGGGGCTCGGAAGCAGCGGCCGCAAACTTTCAACATCACCACCAATGCGCTCATTTCAACTTGGGGCCAACTTACCCCCACGCTGTGGTGCCGGACAGTCAAAGCGTTGCCCGCGGCTCGTCCTGACACACGGTGCTCACCGGAGCGCTAGTATCGCTGTCAATGTAGGCCACGACTGGCTCACGAGTGAATTATATTTTGGTTTTTGCGTTTTTGGAAGCGTTATGGTTGATGACAAATTACTTATCCAACAAAAAGAATCTCGGGGACGTGTAAGTACGCTCACCATTAAGTCCTACAAAGTGCAATGACTAAAATAAAACTGTCATAGAAAATGTAATATTTCTTAAATAAGTAATTGTGATGGGTTCATTCTATGAAATTTCCGAGATGTGACTCTTCCTTCGCATTCCGACTTTTCAAGACGAGAGCAAGGGCAGGCAGCAGCAGGGTGTCCTGCGTCAGCAGGGCCGCACGTGTGCACACGTTGCGTTTGAAGGACGGGGGCGGTCCGGAGGCGGCGGGCCGGGGGCGGCGGGCCGGGCCAAGGAAGTGCGGGAACGGACGGCAATCGGCTGCCATCGGCCGTACCCGGCCCGGCCCGGCCGTCCTCGCCTGTCCCGTGTATCCGGGCGGCCAGAGATGGATGGTGTCCGCCGGGCCCTCGGCCGGGCCAGTGCTGGGCCTGCTATTCCCGGCGGCCAGATCTGGCCCAGACAGCACGCCAGTGCGATATCGGCGCTGCGCTGCCTCGGGGGAATTATCATCACAGGCTGCTGCCGCCACTGCTGCTGCTGCTTTGGCTTATCGAAAAATCACAACTGAAAATAATATGGAGGCGGGCTGCGTCTGAAGCGGCCGCCGTGCGCCAGTCATTGACTCTGGCAGAATTGGAAAACATTTTCTCGGCGATCCCTTTCACTTGCTCTTGACGCCCCTTATTGCCTCTCCGTAGTCCCCATACAAGTGCAGCTTCATCCGTTCTCTTTCACCCCCCGCCCCTTCTCCCACTCCCTTTCTCTGGACCGCTTAACCGAGAGAGATTGATGGTTGAATCCGCCCTAGGGCCTAGCCGCATTTTTGAACGCCCAGGCGCGGCGTGGCGTTTCTCGGGTGGCGCTTGCCTCGCGTGGAGTGTGCTTGTATCGCTTTGCCAGCGAAAAGTGCTCAATCACGAGCGAAGGGAAGCAAAAGTCACTTCATTGCGAACGAGGTGTCGGGTTTAATTAATTGACCTGTTGACAGCGTCGAACGGACACGTTGGAGTCATCATGGAAGGAAGTAATAAATGATACAACACTCTGGCTTCGCCGTCTACGTTTTTCTTCTTTTTCTTAAAGTATCTCCAAGCGACTGGAAAAGAGCGGGGATTGAACTTGTACAGCCTCATGATGTCCTATCGAGGAAGGGTGCGACACGAGGTGCGACGCAAGGCGGGGCTTTGGTTGGGTGCTATAGGGTGGCTTGGGGTTGGTGGTTGCGGGATGGGTGGGGTGGTAGGGGCCAGTGGTGCTCATTCGAGTCGTGTTGAGCAGATTGCAATACTCTACTGGGCCGTCTGGAGGCGAGAATATTGCGGCGGACCGCAACACGCTGGAAATGAAGTCTTGTCCTGCTCGGCTGCTGGCGTGTGTGGGCTTCTGAAAGAAAGAGAAAGAGAGAGAGAGACCGGGGTTGAAATTCGGTTCTCTTGTATGGCGTGCGCGTCGATCTATTTTGCACATGTGTTCGGAACGATACATTCCCGACAGCTTGTGTGCGCGGATCGCTCCCTCGGGGCCCTTGTCTTCTCGTCGTTTTCCGTTCGGAGCAAGCTTGAATCCACCTCGTTGAGGTTGCAAACATACTTTTTTACACGTTCGTTTGAAAAAAGTTGACTAAGCATTAGTCTTTAAAAGTTCTTTTTTTTTTTATTTTCACATTTTAAAATAAAGTGCTAAAAAAATTGGTTTTATAAATTTATTGAGCTAACCATGTGAACGTTCACACGCAGTTTTCCCCCTGCGACATTTTAAAGTGTTGTTTGGCGCTGAGAGTCGGTTGGAAAGCCTGCCCGAACGCCTGATGCGGTACAGTGTACCCAGGAAAAGGCCGGTTTATAACAACCACCTTGTATTCATCGGTTTTACGAGTGCACTTCTTTATGTTTCTTGCGGTTTCTTGTTAATTTAAAAATAATTCTTTACTCCGTGGTGACCAACACTTCCATTGTGCTTGTCAGTAGTTATACTCTTGATTATTAATCAGGCCGACCCAACTGCTTTGCTTCAATTATTTCGTTCAGAGATGCGTATTTTAGTTTTCTTCTCTGTACCCGTGCGCGTCTGGCTGAGCGGCTTAATCGATGGTTAGGCAAGCTGCCCGCTGCAAACTTCTCGCCACTCGGGTTTGGTGGAACAAACTCTGCACCACAAGACTCACACATGATAGTTACAACCACGTTATTCGTTCCAACAATTGAGGCTGGATGGAATTCTTCTCTCCTGGAGTAAAGGGAGAAAAGGTGGTCCGTAAGAAAAAATAAAGGGCAAGAGAGGAGGCAATTCGCGCTGCTTTATACATTTTTAATAGTCTAATGTGCTGGGTGTGCTAGCAAACCTTCCCTGTCCGCAGGAATGTCGGGATCGGTCCGCACTTCTGGGCAGTTAGACGCGAACTATTTCTGCCTGCGGAGAGATGAAACATGAAGTTGCGTGGTGCGTGAAAGTCCTAGCAAGGGGCTGTGCAGGCCGTGGGAAACGGCCCCGCGAGCGTTGGCAGGCCAGGGAGTCGAGAGAAAGGGGAATGCAAAAAATGATGGGGGAAAGGCAGGGTAAGTGTATTGTAACTGGGAATCACCATCGCTCGCTGTGCGTTCCCAGAGTGGGGCGGCATTTAATTGTTGAGTGTTTCTCTGTATTCCCCTCCCCCTCTCTCTCCCCCTCTCTGTCTCACGCTCTAGGAGCACCAGCGCCGTCCTGTTCTTGCGCGGCGGACGCGTTCCTGCGACAGTGAGACGACAGCTGCCAGTCTTGAAATTGGGCCGAGCTAGCAGGCCCAGCAATTCTCCATGTCATCTTCAGGCTCGAGCGCTTTCCAGATTACGACTCGAGACGTGTTCTATTTACTAATGTGGCCCTCCTTTCCCCCTTTCATTCCTGCCCCCCCC